GAACTGCTATTGCTATTGCTATTGTTCCTAGCCTCACCCTGATGCCGTCTATATTTACTCTGATGCCACGTTTTTGGCTCTGGATGTAACATGCATCCCATCTCTGCAAGATATAAAGATGCAAACTGAGTTTTTCCCAATTTTAATCTCTGACTTACCAGTTGGTGAAAGGTAACATGAGGTCCTTCAGCATCATACAAGAACCACCAAGTAGCTGCACCTACAGTTGCAAACCCAACATAAACTGCAAAGAAAAAGGAAAATTAAATAAAGGAATGGGATGAAGTTAAATAGCTTTTTGGTCTTCATTATTTTATATCAGGAGCCACCCCAACCTGTTCTGTCCAACTACATTCCAACCATCATCACTACCTGGTCCATTTCAAATAAAAGCCCCAAATCATTGGACAGTGTTAATTTGGTCTGTACCCTGCTTCAGCAAAGAATCTTAAGTAGCTTAAACATTACCTGTTCCATTCCTTAATCTATATACTACTAAAACTCTTGTTACTATGACTTTTAACTGGGTGAAAGGATGCATTGCACTGCAACAATTTTTGAACTAAGAAACCTCAATTAGGTTAATTTAAAGAATGTGTCCACAACTCCTGAATGAATGAAATTTGAGAAACATGTGGCTGCTTCAATGGTATTGGTAGCTGCCAGGCTGTTGCTGCCATTTTGGAATGTTTATTTTTAATGTTCTGTGACAGTTTCTCAGTCAATCATGCAATCCCTCATTCCCTCCGTGCTGCCCCAGCAGTATATAGATAGTGTGGGAATTAAGATCTGTCTCCTTTACGAAACTACCGCCTTATGGGAAATGTAAGTTCCATGACATGTGATCATTTCTGTGTTTTTGATTGGCCACTGGGGCGTTCTTCCTGCGCGTAGGACAAGCCTGTCTTTTAAAATGCCACTGTTAACCAGAGAAGCAACGCATGTGCCTCCGCTCAACATGGGAGCCAATTAATCATCTTTGTACATCACGTGATGGGACAGATTATGGAAAGTCAGAAGTATCTTAACACTGAACTATAAGTTTTGCTATTAAGAATGTCTGATAATAAACTTGATTTGAATGAGATTCCTAAGCGTGGAGTTAACTGCATGCACCGAGCAAGCCTACAGCGCTCGAGGCAGAACACCCTCCCCCATCCAGCAACAGTCACTCGCTTTCTGGGAAGGGAAGGGAAGGGAAGGGAAGGGAAAGGAAAGGAAGGAGGACAATTTCTGTTGCTCCCACTGGAGGATTCTAGGATTTCAAATCCACTCATCTGGAAGGCACCCAAAATAGGCATTAAAAATGTTCTCACCTCCAATTGCAAGGTAGCGGAAGAACAACCACCCGCTAATGAGAGGTTCTCTAGGATTCCGGGGCAATTTATCCATGATGTCAAGGTCAGGAGGATTAAAGCCGAGGGCCGTAGCTGGCAGCCCATCAGTCACCAGGTTCACCCAAAGCAACTGGACAGGGATCAAAGCTTCGGGAAGGCCCAGGATGGCAGTCAAGAAGATGCTGAAAATGGAATACACATATATTTNTATGAAAGTTCATATATTCAGCTTTGCTACATAATAAAGTTGTCATTCACCCAGAGAGATCTCGTGCCCTCAAGTTATTTCTAGGATTAGCTTCGTGGGTGACCCCCCTTTGATTGTTGTGCCCAGGTGCCGCCCTGGAGCCGTTTTCTCCAGGGACGGACTGAGGCACTAACAACCGGGGTCAATTCCCTCAGGCTGGCCTCTGATCTGGACCTTCTAGTCGTGGAATTCGCTGACGTCTTCAGCGATGCCCTGGGCCGTTATAATGGCACTCCCATCTCCCTGAGTTTAGACCCCCTGGTGGCTCTAAGGGTGCTCACAGGGTGCCCCTGGCACTGCGAGCTAAAGTCGATGCCGAATTGGACAAGCTCATCTCCCGGGCATTCTAGAGCCAGTGGATCATGCCCCTTGAGAGACCCCTATTGTCCTTCCACTGAAGTCTGATGGCTCCCTGAGGGTCTGCGCTGATTACAAAAATACTGTCAACAAGGCGCTGCAGGCCCATCCCTACCCTGTGCCCGTCATCCAGCATGTGCTGCATTCCTTGGGCCAGGGCAAGATCTTAGCCAAATTGGACCTGGCCCAAGCGTATCAGCAACTGCCCATGGATGACGCCACTGCCACCGCCCAGACCATAGTCACACACCGGGGCGAGTTTCAGTGCAAGCGCTTACACTTCGGCATCAGCGTTGCCCCCGGTCTCTTTCAGGGACTCGTGGAGCGCCTGCTCCATGGCATCTCTGGCGTGACGCTATACTTTGATGATGTCCTGATTGCTGCTCCGGACCAATCAGGACTCATCTCCACCCTACGAACTGTCCTATCCAGATTCCACGCCTCAGGTCTCCATCTGAAGCGTTCCAAATGCCAACTTGGAGTTTCCTCCGTTGACTTCCTGAGATTCTGCGTGGATGCCCATGGCATCCACCCCTCTCCCGCCAAAGTGGAGGCCATCACCAACGCCCCCACCCCCTCCAACAAGGCGGAGCTTCAGGCGTTTTTGGGGTTGCTTAATTTCTACGCCGCCTTCATTCCGCATAAGGCATCGGTGGCGGAGCCCCTTCACCGCCTGCTCGATCCTTCCACTCCCTGGGTCTGGTCCAGCCACGAGGCACATGTGCTCACGGCTGTCAAAGGCCTGTTGACATATTCCCCCGTGCTCGTCCAGTATGACGAGCACTTGCCCCTCCTACTGGCCTGTGACGCATCCCCCTATGGCGTGGGGGCCGTTTTGAGCCACTCCTTTCCTGACGGGTCGGAAGCCCCCATTACCTTTTCTTCATGCACCTTGTCCAGGGCTGAATGGAATTACATCCACCTGGACAAGGAGGCTCTGGCGGCCGTAGCTGGGGTGAAGCGGTTTCACCACTACCTCTACGGCCACCCATTCACCCTCCTTACGGGCCACAAACCCCTTCTAAGCATTCTGGCGGGGGATCGCACCACCCCCCCATCCTGTCACCCCGTATATCCTGATGGTCCGAATTCCTTGCCGCTTATTCATACCGGCTGCACTACCAGCCGGGTAAGCATATGGGCCACGCGGACGCGTTGAGCCACTGTCCGCTGCCCGCCCAGGTGACCGACCCTGCCGCGTCCGTGGCCTCTTACGTCTTCCTCATAGATGACTTGGAGTTGCCACTCTCTGCTTCCAACATTGCCCAGTCCACCTCCTCCGATCCTCTCCTTTGCCGCATCTTGGACACTGTTCACCGAGGCTGGACGGTGGATTCTCAGGGCCCTGAGTTCCTGCCGTTCCTCCGCCGCCGCACTGAACTCTCCATCGTCCAGGGATGCCTCCTCTGGGGCTCCCAGGTGGTGGTGCCACCTGCCCTGCGCCAGTTGGTCCTGTGTCACCTCCATGAGGGCCACCCAGGCATTGTCTGCATGAAGGCCCTCGGCCACGGGTATGTCTGGTGGCCCTCCATGGACGCGGACATCGCTGGCTGGGTGCAGCGGTGTCCTCCCTGCCAGGCCGTCCGGCCTGCCCCCCCACATCACCTTTCCGGGAGCGGGAAACCCACTCCGCCCCCTGGAGCCGCATCCACACGGACTTCTTTGGGCCAGTGGATGGGTGCACCTTCCTCCTAGTCGTGGACGCGCTTTCTAAGTGGGTGGAGGTCATCCTCATGTGTTCCCTAACTTCTGCTGCCACCATCCAATCTCTCGAATGCCTTTTCTCGATCCATGGCATCCTGGACATCCTAGTGTCCGATAACGGTCCTCAATTTGCCTCCACCGAATTCCGCCTCTACCTGGCCAGCTTGGGGGTTCACCATGCCCCGGTGGCACCCTATCACCCCACCGGCAATGGAATGGCAGAGCGCGCTGTTTGCTCTGCCAAGGAAGGCCTAGCCCGTCTTGGTCACCTGCCCTGGCCGGCCTGGCTCTTCACCTACCTCCAGGCACAACACTCCACCCTATGCTCTACTACCAGAAAATCCCCTGCCGAAGTCCTGATGGGCTGCTGGCTCCGTACCACACTGGATCGGTTGCACCCCCACTTCGCTCCCCTGTGTGTTCCCCGACCGGACGCCCCACGGACCTTCTTGGTGGGGGAGGGGGTGTACGCCCAAAACTATTTGGGCGAACCGAAGTGGTTGCTGGCCGTGGTGCTTGAACTCACAGGGCCCTGTTCCTACAGGGTCCAACTTGGCGACGGACGAATTTGTCGGCGCCATATAAACCAGTTGCGCTGCCGCATGACCGCCCAGCCGCCCGGACAACAGGCTGACGCCGCTCCGGCTGCTCCACTCGACACCGGTCTCCAGCCGCAAACACCTTGCCCCAACCATCCTGGCAGCTCGCCACCAGCTACCACCGCGGCCACACACTTGCCTTTGAATCTCGGCGTGAGGCAAGGGACTGGGCCTCCGAATCAGCATCGTCACTCCGACGAGTCTCCTCCTCCACCTTTGACGCCCTCGGCAGACATACCCAGACTGGGGCGGTCTCAGCGCCTGCATAGTTGACCAAAGTACTTGGACGACTACGCATGCGCTATCCGGGGGGAAGGGGTGTTGCGTCCCCCTGACGTAGCCGGCAGCCAAGCCACGCCTTGCAAGAAGCTGATTGGTCCTGGTGTGGCTGCCAGCCGGCGGGAGAATTGCAGCCACCCCATTGGCCGGCCGCCTGACAGCTATCAGTATAAATAGCTGTCAGGCGGCGCTGTCCTGCGCGCGTGTTCTGAACTTGCTGTTAGTTCTGTTTTACAATAAAAGGTTCCTGTTCAGTTTACCTCAGCACCTCCTCGTACTTTAAAGTTGGGTTTATGCTTCCAAGCAAACATCTCATCACTACTTTCCAAAAAGAATTCTAGTAACAAGTAGTTTCATTAATTTCAGAAATCACTGGTAGCATAAAAATCTTCAGAATCTAAACCAGAAAAAGTTGTAACAAATAACTGAATGTACTATTGAGTATCACTGACCTTGACATGTGACAGGATGCACATAGCCACTGCGTCATTAGTAGAATGGGCTAGGAAAAAGGGGATCAGCTTTGAAAAGACATGCTGCAGAACTGTTTGAAATGAAACTATATCCTTCAGTCTGTAGGGATGAGCTATAGTTGGATTGTTTATGATGCCAGCTCGGCATTTCCCAAGCAGTCATCTCTTTGTGTCAAAAGTACCATTTCTGAAATCCCCAAATAAAGATTGCTTTCCTCAATCTGACTTCCAGCTTATCCCTAACAGGGTTGAGGCCTACTGTTACAATTGGATTCTGAATCACTTGCTTTTCTTCTTTTCTTGGAGCAGGAGGAAGGGTTTTATTTTTTATTCTTCTGTAATTGCTTCTGTGTGCAGGAGAGGAAGAAGAACCAAATAGCTCTCTTACCAAAGTCCAGAAACTAACAGATGCTTTGTAAAATGATATAATATTAGCTCTAAGCTGAAAGAGTCTAACTGCAACAGTTCTCTAACCACCACACACCCCCGCTCCATTATTATTTGTAGCTTATTACAAATGAACAGACAGCCAGTGGCAATGGTACTATAATTTTAAGAGTGGAGAAGACTGAAAGACATTCAAAATAACTGGGATTTCCAGGGCAAATATGGATCTCCAGAAGATGCTTTAATCTTCCAAGACTAAATGTTGCATGGTTAAACAAAAGCAGAAGGTCGCATTCATTTTTTCCTAATTTAAGAAATGTGTGCTTATTGGCAGATCCTGTGTGTTTATTTTTATGTGAAAGAAAAAAAATACTTTCTGCAAAACAAACCCTTTTCTGACTAATCAAATTGTTGCCAGTGTTGTATTTTCTCTTAGCAACAACTCTTTGAGGTGGGGTAAACATACTGTAGGCTTGAAATGCTGCTTAGTTAGAAATAGAGAAACAGCAGGAAATAAGATGAGCAATGTGCTACTGCTAATTCTTTTGAGGGCTTAAAAAATATGTTCATTTCCTGAGGGTTTTTTTGGGTGGGGGGCTTGTTTGGTTTGAAAAATGACAATGAATGAAGAAAATTGAAACTTAGTTTCAATTTTCTTAGTCTCAGTAAGAGCCAAGGTGGCGCAGTGGTTAAATGCAGCACTGCAGGCTACTGCTAGATCAGCAGGTCAGCGGTTCAAATCTCACCGGCTCAGGGT